CCCCCGTGCGACCCTTAACAGTTCGGCGGATCTCCCTCCGCAGCATCAGAAGGGAGTGCAGCGGAGGCTTAACGGCAAACTGACGGTGACAGTCCTCGGCCTGGCTCGCATGTGACGCAAGGAGAGTCGTGAATTAAAAAGTGATAGTCACGCTAGAGCCCGCATTGCACTCCAAAGTCACTCCGTGACTTTTGCTTTTAACGCATCTTTCCCCCTTTGGCCTTTGCTGTCTCTCGCCCCCAGTTTTCTCTCTTTTACACTCCCTCTTGCCCTCACTCCTTTCCTCTCCTGCTGCTCCCAATCCGATGGCCCCACTGAAGGAATGGTAGATGATGGGGTAAAGTGGCGTGGCGGGCCCCTACATACTTGATGGCGGGCTGCCCCGCAGAACGGGCAAATGGAGACAGCGTGGGGGAGGGATGGGGTAGGGCAAGGTGGGGTGGGGTGGGGTTCGGTGAAACGGAGCCGGCAAAAGGCCCAGGAGGGCTTTCGACTGCCGGCCGAGGTAAACGGCGGAAGATAGGTGTGGGTTGTCGAGGGGAGCATCTCATTTCTTACACGACGTTCCCCAAGTCCCCAAGTGGACTACATCATTTTTTTCAGTTTTTGGTTTTATTTTCTCAAGTTTTCATTTAATTTTTAGTTATAAGAGCTAGTCAGGGCAGCGCCCTCTGGGTCGCACGGTCGCACCCGCTCGCTGCACGGCAGTCAAAAGTGAAGTAGGTCAAGACACCGGGGTCAGCCGTGGGTGGCGGGGCAGATGCCCTCTGCCTGGAATGCACAAGCAGCTACCTACGCATGAAAACGTGCTGCCCTCAGGAGAGTGACAAAATTTGATTTAAAATTTTTGCCTTCCTATGAGCTACTGCACCTTTCGTTATGCATCCAATACACTGATAAATCAAGTGTACAACTGGAATGCACGTGCAGACCAGGCACCCGCTCAGGATGCTTATAGGGACTGTCCAGCATATTATGCATACAAATGGTGCATGGTATGGTGAGAGTACGACAACGATGTATGCCCATAGTGTGACTTAACTTTCACGGTTTTCTGTAGCATACACATTTGTCGCCCCGGTACCCCTTTGAAATTACAGTGTAGTGATGTGATATAGGCAGATCAGCCATCTTGGTATACGGGGAGCCCTACAAAAAATATGTTAACAAAATGAGATCAGCGTGGGCGACCGGCGGGCGCTGCGGCGGAGATGGGGAGAAAAAAATTATCACTGTCCGGCCGAAAATCAATCCGGGATTCCCAACAAAGCGGCGCCCGGGCTACGGGAAAGGGCGGGGGGGGGGGGGAGGGCGTCGGGGCGCGTAGCGAAGGCCGCGGCCGCCACGGTCGGCGCCCCGCCACGGTGTGGCCGCACAGCTCGGCCGGCGCGGCGGCCTCCATATCGGAAACGAACAGCAGCCCCGCCGCCTCCCCTACCGGACCTGGGCCCGGCCCCCCCGCGGCAAAGTTAATGAGGCGGGGGGTCGATACCGCGTGTGGTCGAGCTCCGTCTGCGGCCATCCCCTGCACCCCTGAGGGTCCCCTCCTCACCTCCAGCACGGACATCAGTCACTTAGCCCCCGAAATTAAGTTATGCGTGAGGCACAATGCCGTACATCATTGGCAGTCTGCATCAGTCTCGCTACCAGATATAGTTTGGAGAGGGTGTATTTACATTGTCCGCCCTACTTTTCTCCGACCTGGTAATTTTTCCAAAATCCCTAAAAGGGATACCTTTTTGGGTTACTTTGGTGAGAGGTCGGCTGGGTCTGTATGGACCCAAAGTGTCGCACTGCAAAAGTTATCCCTGGCCCTGCACCCGGACGTTTGGCGCCACCACTGAACCGGGAGAGAGGTGAGCTGGACTACCTTGTCGCTAAAAGAGCGATACAGCGGCTAAGTCCCGGCCGACCCCTCACGTAAGGAACCCCAAAAAAGTAATTGCCATCTTTAGATATGTGGTTCCCAGCACTTCAAAACGCACAAATAGGTATATGTTGTGTGAACAAAAAAATATATTTCTTCACACTTACAATTTTTTTAGCAGTCAGCGACAGCGTAGAATCGATCGTTCCCTGGAGCGTCAGCCCGTATCTCGCCTCTACGGCTCAGTCGGTAGCGCGCCCGCTCAGAGCGCGGGGGGTCTGCGGTTCGATTCTCCGACGATCTGAAATTTTTCTCAGGCAACCAAATTGCGAATGGACTTCAAACCCGTCATTTCACCACGCCCCTCTCGTGGTGTTCCGATGGCGTAGTGGTTACCATTGTTGGTGGCACTGCGTCATAGGTGTCAATTAAGTGTCGGCTCTGGGCCGGGGTTCGCGCCCCGGTGCCTGGCACCTCGCTGTGGTAGCGGGGTGCATAATAAGACCTAGAAACTGGCTGAAAAGGACTCCATGACCTGTGGTGGGTCAGTACAGTTTAACCAACGTACGCCTCAACCGTCTCACAAACACCGGGAGTATGTTCTGACCACTGCGGTTGGAAGCGGCTGTTCGGAACAGTGACCACAGTTCGCTAACTACTGCGGTGGGATGAGGAAAGTACTCCCCCATTTTTAGTTTTTAGTTTTGAAGCCTGTTCCTCTTTGAAGCACATTAGGCCGGAGAAAATTAGGTCGGACAGCACTTTTAGGGATTTTGGAAAAGTCACCAGGTCGGAGAAAAATAGGTCGGACATTCTAGCTGCACCGGTTTGGGGTTCTGCGAGGAGATCTACCATAGGGTGGGAGATATAACACGTGGTATCGTAAAAGGAGTTAAGTCTTACTCTTACTTACCCCCTTTTTCACAATTGTGAAACCAACCAACCAAAAGGAGTCATCAAAATTTCAGCAGTACAAAAACTCAGCTGAGTGCACTTGTCTCTTTTTGATACTAAAGTTTGTGAAAGTTAAGTTGACTTAAATCCCCTTCCTGCACCAAAAAATATAATATTGGAGTTTTGTCAAACCGATCATATTTTCGTAGTACAGAATGACAACTCAACCTCTCCTTTAAAGTTAGAACCGACTTTTAAACATACTTTCAATTTCTGATACCACTACTCTAAGTGTTTGGGGTCACTTTCCTTGATTTGAACTTTCTTTTACTACTTTGGCCAATTTTCCGATGTCGTATCTCCAAATTTTGAACATGAGAAAAGAGTAAAGTTGACTAGTCTCTTAACTTTTCTCTACGTTAATTGCGTTGGAGATAGGATAAGGGATAAGTCCTAACTCCATGAAGGATATTGACAAAAAATTAAAAGTGCAAGTAATATCCTTGTTTGAAGTTCATCATATCTGCATCATGTGCACAAAAGTACGAACTATTTTGAACTTATCCCCTGCTTCCGCCTCACAGCCCAATTATTCCCTCAATCCCGGTGAAGAGGCCCCATACATGCGCGGGAACCCGCAAATCTCAAATCTACTGCAGGCAGCGCGGCGGCGGCGGCGGCCACTCGGAACAAACACCAAAGGGAATCAAAAGGGAGGCGGGGGCGGGGTCCCCCGCAGCCCGGCGCAGCCCCGCACGGTCAGTTGGCTCCCCCGCCCCTCAAACAAACCGGCCCGCCGCGCCTCGGGGCTCCACCATGCATACAAATGGTGCATGGTATGGTGAGAGTACGACAACGATGTATGCCCATAGTGTGACTTAACTTTCACGGTTTTCTGTAGCATACACATT